TAAAACACTGAACAATGATAATTCCTGATGATAACAATTCATATGGATGATCGTTTTCAATCACCTCAACAATTCAAAATAATGACAAGTCATATTACAATAATACAGTTGCAACGAAAACAATATCTAAAAACAGCAATCATTCGAATCACATCAGTCAGTCATCGTAACATCAAGAAATGTAACTACTGAAAAGGACGAGCACCATCGGAGCCACGACGGTGATCGAAACAGTTGTGATTCTGAGTTGATGAAGTGAAACAGGTATTTAGATACTCATCTGAAAGTGAAACAGTATATTTCGGTGGAGGATACGACCACGGTGGATAAGTACATGGAATAACCGACATAAATAGCGACGATATCATTGAGATTATTCACCTTGTATGGAAAGGAATGAATAAATAGAACGTAAAGATGGATAAAAGAAGCAAAAATTACAAAATATGACTTCAAGGAATATTCTACTGGAAAATCACCATTCAGAATATTTTGCTTAAAATTTCCATTTTATTACATAAGGTAGCCGAGAAACTTTTGAGATTGCTGAAAAGTTCTTTAGAGAAAACGAACCAAATGAGGGATTTGTTGTATTGGTCGAGGTGGATGTGTTCCATTCAGTCGATGAATTTCGATAGTCCGAACAATTTGCCGTAGCCAGCCGATTGTACTGGTAAGTTGAAAAATAGGTTGTCAACATGGAGTCTGGAGGGTCGGCTGGTAAACAAGGTACAGCAGACGGCGTTGAAGATATCGGTTTTGAAGCAAGCACCGATAGAAATTCATGTGCTGAAAACACAACTGACTTGCGACGGTTCGAGGTTTCAAGGAGAAGAAGAATACGTGAGAAATACATCATTACCTTCATTTAATACACCCGATATTAAGAACATTTTTGTGTGTCAATCAAAGTCGCTCGTTATTTTCTTATATAACCGAACAATTGTTGTAACTATGAAAATTATTACTTTATAACACTTCTCTACGACTACAAAATTATAAATACCTTATACAATTAAAAGATTACTCATAAATTACAAGCAAGTTTTGAATCAACAAGGCAGAAGTTTCCTCAATAGAACGGCGCGCCCATCAATATCNGAGATCGAGCTGACTGATGGAACGTTGTATTTATCACAAACGTTGTCTTCTAATAAACGATCGCGGATCTCCCACGCGAACATACTCGGATCACGCATTTTCAGCTGACGAATATGACTGACCACCTCAACAACAATTTATTTACAAAACAACCATCAGAGTAGACCATGATTGAAATCAAATGGAAAGCTTGGAATTCATAAGAAAGCTATAAGGTGAGGAAGAATTTGAGAGGTTCAACATGAGCATTGCATGGTAAAGTAGTGAATAAAACAAACTGAACATGAATTTTCTTTGAAATTATTTAGATGTAAAGTTATTCCTTCGTTTGAGCAACATATCAACTTATTCCGATGCCAATCATCAGTTAAAGATTGCTCTAATTTCAGCAAATGTGTGAAATTATCGACGAATACCTTGGGTGTGGTAACTCGTGGTTTACTTCCACCAATTGTACCGGGCATAATCGTACCCGATTCTGAGTATCTGTTCAGAATCTTACTCACACATCCATGCGAAATCCTCAGTTGTCTGGAAATGTCACAAGGTCGTACACCGTGATTTGCCAGCTCAATGATTCGCATTCGAAGCGCCAGCGGCAGAGGACGTCCATTTATGAATATACCACCCAACTGATTCACCTCACCCGAACTGAGCGTATCTANTGAGGTTTTGCAGTGATTAATAAGAGACCATAACGAGGTTTTCCGAGTCACCTATCTCGAAACTGATAATATATCTCGTGGATAATCACGATAATGCAGGCAATTCGAGAAAGAGGATTTGCTCACGATTTGCTCATTAACAGATCATGAAGACGTAATTACACAGGTAAAACTATTCGTGAATAAAAACCGGCACTCACCTGGCTGAGGTATAATTCCTTTGAATGATCGAATACGGTTAAGCTTATGAATATTATCATGAACATTGCTATTGTTAAGATTATTGTAATTATTATCAATACCATTATGATTAATACGGTCGTTATTGCTGCTGCTGTTACTGCTACTTGCGATATTGGTACAAATACTTGAGTTGGGACAACAGAGGCAGTTGAAATTATTTATCAATACGGATGATGAGGAGCCGCCGATAGCACTGGAACCAATAACGCGAATAGGAGTGATTGAAACAGGTCGAAGTGTTTGAGGGAGAGGAGCTTCACTGGAAATTTCATCACTCCTACTGCATGACCAGTATGGCAACATCGATTCAATGAGACGGTTTAGTCAGGGTTAAAGATTTCGAAATCTTCGATAGGCTGTTGACTTTCAACTGGTGTGATGAATAAGGATAAAGATTTTGAAATCTTCTACAGGCAGTTGGTAGGTAGGTAGTTCGTTTAAAGTGGACTGATGAAATAGTGTTTTAATGACTATTATTGGGAGGGTTTACAAATATTGTACGAAATTATATTGGAAGTAGTAGTTCTTATTGAATGTTTTCGAATTGTCTTAAGCACTACTGGACTTTAGCAAACGTTTTCTACGGATTATACGGTAAAGTTCCACCCACAACAGAGCATCCGATTGGATGATCGGAAGGAATATTGTTCGGATGTATCATTCTGCTTGTGTATTATTCGCTGCTACGAGGATGATCCTCTTTCCCTCATCGTTGATGTTCTCGTCATTCTTGTGTTACCTCGGATTGGTTTACTCTCTCTCAAGGAGCTGCTGATGAGGTTATGAGAGTTAAGAGATTCCCGCAGCACTTGCAATTAGAGCTGA